ATATTAGCAACATTATATACAGTACATAATTATATGTATTTTAAATTTATATAACTATATATAGTATAAAAGTATAAATATATACTATATTACCAAAAGTATTTGCTCACAACTGTTTCTGATTATGTGGATGAGTGAGCGAATAGTTTTGGCAATATCGTGTGCGTTTTTGTGTGTGTGTGTGTTCCTACTGTTAGACCTAGTGAGATGGCTGCTTGAAATAGCAATTACAGCACGTAGGAGGCAGAAGCAAGTGGTGGAATGACTAGACTCTTAATGAAAATTAGAGATGCCTGGTATGGCATCTCTAATTTTCTGCCCCCAAATTTTCTGAAGGACACCATTCTATTTCCAGATAATATTGTCAGACTAATATTACCAAAGTAAAATTTCATTGTCCATCTTCTGCACATGAATGATAAGATGATATCCCATCCTTTGCTATAGACAGTCAAATTTCTTGGGCTGGCCCTACTTGGTATGTTACTCCATCAATATCATATTTTAGTTGGATGAAAAAAAATGACAATTTTATGTATGCAAAAAACCCCACATAAAAACATGATTCTGTCTTCAGTCAAATTATTGTTTAACAACTGCCCTTAGCTTCAGTACTTTCTAGGTGTATAAATTTCAGTTTCCTATATTCTTAACAATAGCCATGCTGGGGAAGACAAACTAAACTTGATCAAATTTTTCTCATGGTTACTTTTGTTTTTGCTTTTTTAACTGAACTACTTCATGGGTGTCCATTCTTTTAGCAAAACTAGCCCTTTTTTAATCATGTGTTAATATATGTATCATAATAAAGAAATGCTAAGGAGAAAGGTAGACACTGCATGAGTATGCAAGGCAGTTTTCACTGATCCAATGGTTTAATAAAACAAAAATGGAGTGAAAAGGTTAAAAGACTGCTAATTGACAAATTTCATTCAAGTAAATAAATGCTTTTATAAGTTACTTTAGATGTATATTTTAAAAAGTGAGGAAGGCACTGTAGGTCTCAGTTGGCCATGAATTCTATTCCTGAGGTACGGAGAGAAGAAAGTGGTTTCTTTATATGTATTTTCTTTTTCTTTATTATATTCTTTTTTATTCTTTTCTAGTTTTCTTTTTTTCTGAACTTTCTACTTTTTCTTTTTTTATTTTGTATTAGCTTTTGTCTTTTTAAATGTAATGATTAATAAATTTTTTATTTAAAAAACTAATCCCAAGCAAACCATACAATATATAGAAGACTGAGACCTGAATTTCCATTGTTAAGCTACGTGGTTATAAATTTTAATGTCATATTGGAAAGAAATTCCAGTATTTCTGGTTGCCATTGTTAAGCAAATCACCATGGATCATTAAGTAAGGATGTCATATGATCACAATTTACAACCACCTGCTGACCTCCTCTGACTTTGCTTGTAGATGGCAGCTAAAGTGGGTTTCGAATAGCAATCACATAATCACAAAATGCTGCAATATCAGAGGGGGAGGAGCCGAAGTCGCGACTACACGACATGCGATCTCAATGCTCTGAAATCGCAGTCGACACTTTTGTCTCTGGGTGGTCCAAATATACCTAAACTGTCCCATAGAGATGGCGAACAGGAAGAACACATCTTGCTGATCACAGGAACATCGCAAAGTCTCTGATTGATCAAAGAGAAGCTCTTCACACTGGTGACAAAAAATCCAGCCAAATGGCTGATGAAGTCGGGGCGGCTCCAAAATGGAAGGATATGGAAAGAGAAAGTGTTTTCAGATGGTGAGGAATTTTTGCTGTTTTAAAAGTGACTGCCTATTTTAAAAAAACCTTAAAATTTATTTAAATTGGAGAACAGAAGAAATAAGCGGCAGAATTCAATTTGGACTGGTTTTGAACAGT